GCATAAACGATTGATCAGTGTTTTCTGAAAACATAAAAAAATAATAAGCAGCATAGAACAAAGCATAAGTATAAGACAATTTAGGCATTCAAACCTACCAGAAATCCATCGACGAGGGTCCAACACAGCTCTGGGGTTGGAAGGATTTCTGGTATAACTAGAGGAATTAACCTACTTTTTTAAGCGTTTTAGAACCTTGTTCGTACGTTCTTGTCGTAAGGGCAATGGTTGATGGGCTAAACTGGCAACTTTGACAGGGGTGGGCAATGACGTTTTTTTATGTCGCTGCAGATGATGCCCTTTCTCGGTAACGGCATTTTCTTTAATTGGTTGCCTCATCTTTTTTGATATGGATTTACTGCTATTATCATTATTATATGCAAGAGCGGCTCTATGAAGAATTTCTTCCAACTCTTTAACGAGGTCAAGTGGAACTACTTCATTATCGACGATGGCACTTGAAGTATTATCCGATCCATTCGGTTCGTTGGAAGAGGGAGTGAGAGAAGAAGTCCTTAAATGCCTGTTTTTAGTGCGACGGAGGCATTGAGTGTAGTATGAACAAGATTTATCCAATAAGCAGGTCACATCATTTACCTTATCAGTGATCGAGCTAAGTAGGCGAATCATCTGAAAAGCGATTTACCGATACGACCATGATAGAGCCAATTTAACATATTTACTTTCACAGTAGTCATATTATTTATGTAAAAATTTATATTAGTATTAGTTTAATGTCATCAAGCTAGAATGAAGAATAAATTGATTATTAAATCAAGTATAAATTGCTATTTAAAAAATGGTTCCGCAGCTTTTTTTGCTACATTGCGCGCTTATATTAAGCGTATTCCTTAGCCTAATCAATGGAATGTGATCGTACTCTGTTTGTCACTAATTTTTGTCGTGAGGTGACTGAGGAGCTTTTTTTTGAACTTTTTAATCAAAGCGGTCCGGTTCAAAGTGTAAATATTAAAGGGAACGTCGCATTCGTCACATATGAAGATGAGGAATCGATCATCTATTCATGTGCTCTCTTTAAGGACATCAAACTCTATGGGAAAAGACTTCAAATCAAGCCCCGGAAGGGTTCAAAGTATGAGCAAGCAGTCATACCATCGGTGCCTCCCTACATGCATATTGTAGATCGTGTCCAGGCACAGAGGTCATCTTACCGGTTGGATATGCCGAATTTTCCACCTTCTCCCATCCCTTATTCTATTCATCCAGGAAATTCGGAGCATTTTATGCGTCATTTCTATAGCCCATCTTTGTCTATGCCTGATTTGCATGATCATTATGGCCATCCTTTCTCATCCTCTAAGACGGGTGACCACCACACGAGCCTTGGTGGGCATCAGCGCTCAAATTACAGACAAGATATTTAGCAATCCTGCTTTGTAATTTTTCTTATTCATTAAATTGTAAATAAATTCATTGCATAGTTCTTGTTTTTATCCTATTTTGCTATTAAGGATATTCAATTCGTTTTTCATGCTGAAGGCTACTATTGAAAGAGGCCTAAGAGCTGGTCTCGAGAACACCAAGAATATTATTGCAATTCTATCAGGAAAAGGCGGTGTTGGCAAGTCGACGATTGTTGCTCAATTTGCGATTTACTTGTGGAAACTCGGTTTCTCTGTTGGTGTTCTGGACGTCGATTTGTGTGGCCCATC